TCTCCTCATTGGCTCACTGGCTGTGATTGACAGCAGTGGAAGCCTATGGCACACTCCCAGTACAATGACCAAGCTGTCAAAGACAGTTCCTGTTCTTTAGTACTGATTGGAAGTTAGCGGCCATTGTGACACCGCCAGCCAGTGATTGGATGAGAGAAGAAGTAACACAGTGATGAGCTCATCCCTTTGTCATTCTTCTTTCTCTCCCTATCAGAATGCCCCTTGTCAGCACATTAACTGATTGGCTCCTTGTGCTGCTTCTTTCTTTCGCACTGTGAGCCCTGCTGCTGTGCAAGAGGCTGATTGGGACAAATTGAGCTAATGATGTATACAGTAAATAAATATCCAGCTGTATTTATTTCTGCCTTCCATATCTGCCTAGCGCTCTGCTTTAGAAACACCTGTTTAATACCTTTCTTCTTTGTTCATTTTCTTTCAGTTGCACCTATAACATTCTTCAATATTTTCTGTTTCACAATTCATGTAGGTGAAGCAGTTAATCAAACAATCCTTCAGGGAAATTCCAAAAAAGCTTTTGTGACTCTTAACTGATTCTGCCTGATATATTTTGTGACACATGCTGATATCAGCCCTCCGGACTCTATGGTACAAGTCTTACCATGTAGACTCTTCATCTTTGCAGGTTATTTTTTACCGTTCTACTGGACGCATACCTTTTTCATGACTTGTTGCATAAAGTTTGCATTTTTTAGCTAGTCACAGTTTTATCTGGTGTCAAATCAAATGTGGATGAGTCTAGAGAGATTTGTGTTCGAGGCTATTTGGATGTGACCAAGTATAAAGAAACGTGGGGAATTCAGGGGAAAAAAAAGACAACCCCAATTCCAAAACAGTTGGGACAATGTGTAAATCTACAAAAATGCAATGATTTGCAGATTTTACAAAAGCCATATTTTATTCACATAGTTACATAATTAGTGTGGCTGAAAAAAGACAAAAGTCCATCCAGTTCAACCTTTAAAAAAAAAAAAAAAAAAAGTTAGTTAATAATCCTATACCCACAGTTGACCAGAGAAAAGCAAAAAATCCAGCAAAGCATGATCCAATTTCCTCCTGCAGGGGGAAACAGTTCCTTCCTGATCCCCCGAGAGGCAATCGGATATTCCCTGGATCGACTTTACCTATAAATGTTAGTATCCAGTTATATTCTGTGTATCTAAGAGAGAATCCAGGACTTTTTTTTTAAAGCAATCCACTGAGCTGGCCAGAACCAACTCTTGAGGGAGTTTATTCCACATTCTCACAGCTCTCACTGTGAAGAAACCTTTGACGATTAAATTTCTTTTCCTCCAGATGTAAAGAGTGCCCCCTTGTCCTCTGTGATGACCTCAGAGTGAATAGCTCTACACCGAGTTCACTATATGAACCACTGATGTATTTATACATGTTGATCATATCCCCCCATATGTATTATACATGGAGATCATATCCCCCCTTATGTATTATACATGGAGATCATATCCCCCCTTATGTATCCCCCCGTATGTATTATACATGGAGATCATATCCCCCCTTATGTATTATACATGTTGATCATATCCCCCCTTATGTATTATACATGGAGATCATATCCCCCTTATGTATTATACATGGAGATCATATCCCCCCTTATGTATTATACATGGAGATCATATCCCCCCTTATGTATTATACATGGAGATCATATCCCCCCCTTATGTATAATACATGGAGTTCATATCCCCCCTTATGTATTATACATGTTGATCATATCCCCCCTTATGTATTATACATGTTGATCATATCCCCCCTTATGTATTATACATGGAGATCATATCCCCCCTTATGTATTATACATGGAGATCATATCCCCTTATATATTATACATGGAGATCATATCCCCCCTTATGTATTATACATGGCGATCATATCCCCCCTTATGTATTATACATGGAGATCATATCCCCCTTATATATTATACATGGAGATCATATCCCCCCTTATGTATTATACATGGAGATCATATCCCCCCTAAAGCTCCTCTTCTTCTCAAGAGAGAATAAATTCAGTTCCTCTAATCTTTCCTCATAGCTGAGCTCTCCATGCCTCTTATCAGTTTGGTTGCCCTTCTCTGTACTTTCTCCAGTTCCACAATGTTCTTTTTGTGAATTGGTGCCCAAAATGTAGCTGCATATTCCAGATGAAGTGTTACTAATGATTTGTACCGGGGGAAATGATATCTCTCTCTCTCTGGAGTCTATACCTCTTTTAATATAAGAGAGGATTTTGCTTGCTTTAGTAACCACAGCTTGGCATTGCATGCCATTATTAAGCTTGTGATCTACCAGAACTCCCAGATCCTTCTCCACCATTGATTCCCCCAGTTGTACCCCCCCCCCCCCGTATGTATGATGCATGCATATTTTTAGCCCCTAAGTGCAGAACCTTACATTTATCAACATTAACCTCATTTGCCACATAGTTGCCCAATTACACAATGCATTGAGGTCGGCTTGTAAGTTGAAACAATAGAAAATAGAAAACATACCAGGGGCCTACCTACAGGGGTCGCAATTGTGACCCAGCCCTATGCTGCAGGGGTCTTATGATGTGGCCCCTTTATATGCCTAAATAGAAGGAGTGGTGGGGGCGGCTGCATTTAGAAGAATCAATCTCTCCATTTTCCTCCTGCAGCCAATGAATACCTGCTTCTCCTCCTCTCCCTTCCACCGGCATTTAGTGGCTGCAGGAGGAAAATGGAGAGATCGGTTCCTCTATATACAGCCGCCCCCTCCTATCCAGCTTCCTTCTGCTGCATATAGCCCCCCCCGGTCTCCTCGGCCTCACATGCTCTCAGGCCCCTCCTCTCCTGCCACCTGTTCTGCTGGGTTCCCCCTCCCCTTTCCTGGGAATGCTGTAGTGTTGGAGAGCGGGGAGAAGGGCCCAATAATGTGTAATTTACCGGCCCATTCCTTTTCTGAATGGACAGTCAGGGATCAGTACCGATCAAGGCTCTATTCATTCATAACGGACACATAGTAAACTGTGTTTACTATGCTTCAGTTTATCAATGGACAGAAAGCACTGTACAGAGCTATTCCGGTTCATTCATTCTGTGCATCTGAGGGATGCAGAGAGGGAAATTTAAGAGCTGTTGCCTCAATCTCCATTCTCTGTCCCAAAGGTGGAACATCAGAGATCTGTTTAGAACCCTGATATTTCACCAAAGCTACCCAACTTGGCTCCTAAAAAAAATGTAAAAAAATAATAAAAAAAAAATAAAATAAAAAAACTACAAGAGGTCATTGGTCAATCCTCTAGTATACAAATCACATAAAGGGAGACTTCAGGAAACTGGCAAATCTTAAGGGAGTACTGTATTGTATTCATAACAATATTAGTAAGGATCATTATTTAAAAACTGTATTAGTATTGTTGATATATTTTCTTACTTTGAAAAATGTGTGTATATCCTCTGTCCATCCCTGTAGCGGCAGCTGCTGCTTTTTTGGCTCTTCATGATAGCCAGCAGGGGGAGTGATACATCAGCTTCCTGTTGGAGAAAGGAAAGAACACATATCCAGGCACCCTTTAGATGTGTATGTTCCAGGGAAGGAGCTAGCCACCGAACAGCACAGTTAAAATCTGCTCCATCCAGTGGCCTGCAGAGAGGAATATGAAATCGGGCTCAACACTTGTCTTCACTTACAGCCTCTGCTCCCAAAGCATCTGAATGTATTACTACAAAGGGAGATATTGCGAGATTAGAATGAATTAAAGACACAGGCATAAAGGAAATTAATGCAGATGGGGATCCCTGAAATTATTCTAAGGTGTTTATGGGAACTAAATGTACACAATATTTAAAAGAAACAATTGAAAATTTAAACAAAGTATATGTACAGTATCTCACAGACGTGAGTCCACCCCTCACATTTTTGTAAATATTTTATTATATCTTTTCATGTGACAACACTGAAGAAATGACACTTTGCTACAATGTAAAGTAGTGAGTGTACAGCTTGTATAACAGTGTAAATTTGATGTCCCCTCAAAATAACTCACACACAGCCATTAATGTATAAACCACTGGCAACAAAACTGAGTACACCCCTAAGTGAAAATGTCCAAATTGGGCCCAAAGTGTCAATATTTTGTATGGCCACCATTATTTTCCAGCACTGCCTTAATCTTCTTGGGCATGGAGTTACCAGAGCTTCACAAGTTGCCACTGGAGTCCTCTTCCACTCCTCCATGATGACATCACGGAGCTGGTGGATGTTAGAGACCTTGCGCTCCTCCACCTTCCATTTGAGGATGCCCCACAGATGCTCTATAGGGTTTAGGTCTGGAGACATGCTTGGCCAGTCCATCACCTTTACCCTCAGCTTCTTTAACAAGGCATTGGTCGTCTTGTGTTTGGGGTCATTATCCTGTTGGAATACTGCCCTGCGGTCCAGTCTTCAAAGGGAGGGGATCATGCTCTGCTTCAGTATGTCCCAGTACATGTTGGTATTCATGGTTCCCTCAATGAACTGTAGCTCCCCAGTGCTGGCAGCACTCATGCAGCCCCAGACCATGACACTCCCACCACCATGCTTGACTGTAGGTAAGACACACTTGTCTTTGTACTCCTCACCTGATTGCTGCCACAAACGCTTGACACCATCTGAACCAAGTAAGTTTATATCTTGGTCTCATCAGACCACAGGACATGGTTCCAGTAATCCATGTCCTTAGTCTGCTTGTCTTTAGCAAAAACTGTTTGCAGGCTTTCTTGTGCATCATCTTTAGAAGAGGCTTCCTTCTGAAACGACAGCCATGCAGACCAATTTGATGCAGTGTGCGGCATATGGTCTGAGCACTGACAGGCTGACCCCCCACCCCTTCAACCTCTGCAGCAATGCTTGCAGCACTCATACGTCTATTTCCCAAAGACAACCTCTGGATATGCCACTGAGCATGTGCATTCAACTTCTTTGGTTGACCATGGCGAGGCCCAGGGGCGGACTGACAAACTCATGGGGCCCCCGGGCAATAGGGGATCATGGGGCCCCTGTGTCCTTGCCCAAACTCTAAACAGCCTATGAAAAAGGTACCAGGGGCATCTCATGGGTCCCCCTACCAGGGGCGGACTGACAACTCATGGGGCCCCCGGGCAATAGGGGATCATGGGGCCCCTGTGTCCTTGCCCAAACTCAAAAAAGCCTATGAAAAAAGGTACCAGGGGCATCCCATGGGGCTCCCTACTGACCCGGGCCCTCGGGCATTGCCCGAGTTTCCAAATGGTCAGTCCCCCCCTGCCCCCTACTGATCCCGGGCCCTCGGGCAGTGCCCAAGTTTCCAAATGGTCAGTCTACCCCTGGCAAGGCCTCTTCTGATTGGAACCTGTCCTGTTAAACCACTGTATGGTCTTGGCCACTGTGCTGCAGCTCAGTTTCAGGGTCTTGGCAATCTTCTTATAGCCTCGGCCATCTTAATGCAGAGCAACAATTCTTTTTTTCAGATCATCAGAAAGTTCTTTGCCATGAGGTGCCATATTGAACTTCCAGTGTCCAGTATGAGAGAGTGAGAGCGATAACACCAAAATTTAACACACCTGCTCCACATTCGCACCTGGAGACCTTGTAAACACTAAGGAGTCACATGACACCAGGGAGGGAAAATGGCTAATTGGGGCCCAATTTGGACATTTTCACTTAGGGGTGGACTCCACGTTTGTTGCCAGCGGTTTAAGCATTAATGGCTGTGTGTTGAATTATTTTGAGGGGACAGCAAATTTACACTGTTATACAAGCTGTACACTCACTACTTTACATTGTAGCAAAGTGTCATTTCTTCAGTGTTGTCACAAAGATAGAATTAAAATATTTACAAAAATGTGAGGAGTGGACTCACTTCTGTGAGATACTGTATATGTAATTTTTTATTTTTTTTTTTGCTTTAGTTACAATGTAATATCCTACAGTTTGCCATTTATTCTCATGTTTAATTAGTCCATTGAAACAATCAGTTGACTTTTTTCTTCAACCCTATTGAGATGGGAAAACACTGCCTTCTTGTGGAGGAACTAGAGTACTGCAGACACCAGTCCCATTTACAGTTGTGTCCAAAATTATTCAACCCCCACTGAAATTGAGTGTTTTGGCCAGTTTGACATTGCTTTTGATCATTCAGTCATCTTGCTTTACATTTTACATTAAAGAGGCACTTGTAGGTCAGACAAATATAACATAACAGTTATAATGAAATAACCACAATGTCTTTTCTGTGCTCACAGCATTATCAGTTTTTATTCAACCCCCAAGTGACATTCAATCTTAGTACTTAGTACAGCATCCTTTTACAGTTTTATAACAGCTTTTAAACGTGAAGCATAGCTTGACACAAGTGTCTTGCAGCGATCTACGGGTATCTTCGCCCATTCTTCATGGGCAAAGGCCTCCAGTTCAGTCACATTCTTAGGCTTGCGCACTGCAACTGCTTTCTTTAAGTCCCACCAGAGGTTCTCAATCGGATTTAAGTCTGGTGACTGCGATGGCCACTCCAAAAAGTTCCAGCCTTTCCTCTGCAACCATGCTCTAGTGGACTTGGAGGTATGCTTGGGATCATTGTCCTGTTGAAAGGTCCAACGTCTCCCAAGCCTCAGGTGTGTGTGACGGACTGCATCACGTTTCCATCCAATATCTCCAGGTACTGAAGAGAATTCATGGTACCTTGCACACGCTGAAGCTTCCCTGTACCTGCAGAAGCAAAACAGCCCCAAAGCATGATTGACCCTCCACCATGCTTCACAGTAGGCAAGGTGTTTCTTTTCATCATAGGCCTTGTTCTTCCTCCTCCAAACATAGCGTTGATCCATGGGCCCAAACAGTTCTAATTTTGTTTCATCAGTCCACAGAACACTATCCCACAACTTTTGTGGTTTGTCCACATGGCTTTTGGCATACTGCAGTCGACTCTTCTTATTCTTGGAGACAGCAAGGGGGTACGCCTGGGAGTTCTGGCACGGAGGCCTTCATTACGCAGTGTGCGTCTTATTGTCTGGGCTGAAACTTCTGTCCCACATCTGACAAATCTTTTCTCAGTTCCTCAGCAGTCACACGGGGACTTCTCTCCACTCTAACGCTTCAGGTAGCGCACAGCAGTCGAAGTCAGCATCTTCTTTCTGCCACGACCAGGTAGCGTTTTCAACAGTGCCCTTTGCCTTGAATTTGCGAATGATGCTTCCTAAGGTGTCTCTTGGTAATGTTTAACATCTTTGCAATCTTCTTATAGCCATTGCCCTTCCTGTGAAGAGAAATCACCTCTTCTCTTGTCTTCCTGGACCATTCTCTTGCCTTCACCATGTTTGTAACCACACCAGTAAATGTCTAGAAGGAGCTGAGTATCACAGTCATTTTAAAGCTGCCTAATTGGTGCTTATTATGCTTGATTGCTGCTCGGTGACATCCACAGGTGTTTTCAAATACCTGATGGAAAGCACCTGTATGAACCTCTGTTCTTCAGAGTGGTAGTCTTTAAGGGGTTGAATAATTGTGGCAATGAAGAAACCACATAAGAACCATTTACTACTGTATTACATAAACAATTGATGTCATTTTAGTTGCATTTGGGTAGTTACAACGTCCTTGTAGGATTTGATTCTGAATACAATTCCAAATGTACACTATAGTCCCTAAACCCCTTTACAGCATTGGGGGTTGAATAATTTTGGACACAACTGTATATGGGCGAAATTCATAAAACTGTCACAGCCTAAACACAAAGCAATATTAAATGTGTTTTTAAATATACGGATTGTTTGTGAAACATATATTATTTAAAAAGCACACTTATTTGCTTTTTTTGTACTATTTTGATAGGTACACACATAGCTAAATGTATTATTAGTAAAATGTAGAAGTTGGCTCTTTAAATGGATGACAAGGCCCTTTAGAGGCTTCCTTGACTGGCAGGTTTGGGAAAGCTTCCCCTATTACAGATATCCATTCTGGCCTGTGACTATTAGCAAACGTCTCTTAGAGATGGCAGCCTGCTGCATTGGATATAAAAGGAGTTAGTGCCTAAAGGAGTACAGGCTGGGTGTGATATTCCAGGTAGTAAGAGGCATTATTTACATCAAAGGTAATCCTGGTGGAGAAGTTTTCTCTAGAACAGTATTCCTTATGGTGAGTACATCTTTCTTAGATTATTACAAAACTTGTCAAGGTTTGTATTTTGTGCAGTTGCTTCTTAGCAGAAGATACTTTATCCAGGCGGCTCAGGTAGAAAGACTCATTAGGTACCGGGGTGGAATGACCATTTGGACACTGGGCACTGCCCGGGGGCCGGGAGTCAGTAGGGGGCCCCATGAGATGCCCCTGGTACCTTTCATAGGTTTTTTTGGGAGTGGTTTGAGTGTGGGCGAGGACACAGGGGTCCCATGATCCCCTATTGATCCCCAGGGGCGGACTGACCATTTGGAAACTCGGGCACTGCCCGAGGGCACAGGGTCAGTAGGGGGCCCATGAGATGCCCCTGGTACCTTTTCATAGGCTTTTTTGAGTTTGGGCAAGGACACAGGGGCCCCATGATCCCCTATTGCCGGGGGGCCCCATGAGTTGTCAGTCCACCCCTGTTGATCCCCTATTGTCTGGGGGCCCCATGAGTTGTCAGTCTGCCCCTGTTAGCTACCCAAACCATTGGAAAATGTTATCTTTTATAGTGCCACAAAAGCAGACAGGTGATGCAAACTGGCAATAGATGACTGAGCTGGGGACATGTGAGGCTAAGGAGTTGTATTGTGATCAGTCATCCCACCTAGAGGGTTCATGGATTTGTTCTGGGGTACCCGGTGAGCTTTTATTGCTTTCTTCTATCTTTTTCACCCTAGAATGATCTGTTGTTTCCTTAACCACTTCAAGTTCGGACACTTTCACCCACTTCCTGTCCAGGCCAATTTTCAGCTTTCAGTGCTATCACACTTTAAATGACAATTGCGCGGTCATGCAACAATGTATCCATATTAGTTTTTTTTTAGCATTTTTGGAGACCTATAAAACTTTATTTTGGTGTTATTTATTCACCACTGTGATTTTTATTTTTTTGCTATATAAATGAAAAAGTCCAAAAATTTTGAAAAAAAAGTGTTTTTCTTATAAAATTTTGCAAATAAATAATCTTTCTTCATAAATCTTGGCCAAAATGTATTCATCTATCTTTTTAGTGAAAAAAATTGCCCAAATTAGTTTATACCCAAAAATTATAATTTTGCAAACATTTTTTTTTACATTTTTTTTTTTTTTTTTAATATTATGGGTTTTTTTTACATATTGTCACCCTAACAGTACAGTGTCACCATAGTAACACTGTACTACTTGTGTGGGGTGATGAAGATTTTTTTTTCTTTTTTTACACTGATTGTTTTTTACACCCATAAAAGCTGTAAAAGCAACAATTTATCCTTCTCTCTGACTGCATTCTTGTAGCCATTGAGAAATACTGTGAGAGCTGTGATTGGTCACAGCTTGTCACATGGTACATGGCTGTTGTGAATAGCCTTGTACCATGTGACCTCTGTGATCATTCACAGATTTCACAAGTAGTAAGCAATGAAGTCAGGAAGTGACATCTTGTTTACTACTATTCATGTGATCACTGATTGGCCACACATACGTACAGCGATCGGTGGAGCGCGCACAGACAATGAATGCGGGGTGGTGTTTAGAAACGTCAACCCACTTTGGCAGCGGTCCCGTCTGGCCGTTTATCTACATGGGCTGGACGGGAAGTGGTCAAAGGCATTGTACACTTTCAAATGTGTTTTTTTTTTTTTGTAAACTAGGTATTAGTGTAGTTATATTTCCTGTGTGTCATGGCTGATGGATTCCTTTATGTCTATGTATTCATTCACCAAAGGGACAGGTAACTTAATGCTGAAGGTCACAAAGCATCCATTCCACGCCTCATCATTTCCTCTGTGTTGCATCACAAATGTAGGAATGCAAATGTGATGAAAACATACAGGATCTCTTCCCTTCATTTCCCTGCCTGCTTGTGGTTTGTTTTAGATCTAATTACTAATTTTCACCTGCAAAATACTAGACTGAGAGACCCAGGATTGTGGGATATGCAGTTTCCCAGAACCCTTGGGCACAACCAGGGGTGGACTGACCATTTGCCCGAGGGCCCAAGGTCAGT